CAATTCCCTCATCCAAGTCATTGATGAATGAATTGATGAATATTGAGAATATTGTATTGCTCCTGTGTTTTGACTGTGTTCAAGTGTTTTGAAATAGTTCAGTGTGTCACTTAAACATACCCTTTTTATGTGCAAACTTTCATTACATTTGTTTCTCTTGGCAAGTTATTTAATTCCCTGTAGATTCCCTGTATTCCCTGTATATACTTGGGAATATTTGAAAACTCTTATGTACACTTGTCAAGCTTTGTTTTTGGCTAAAGCACTGAAAAGTTTTTTAGAGTGAAATCTCTATGCAGTAGAGCTTTCTGCTCCAGCCCTACTGTGCTCTGGCTTTTCAGTAGAATCATTTGTTGGATATTCTTAAAATAACATAAAAGATAAGTTTTTGTGACTTTTTGTAAAATATGTAGATTGCCTAACAAAAAACATAACTGAACTTTTTCTAACAGAGATGTTCTAGTATATTTGTTCTCAGTGGGTGAGTTTGTGCTTATTTTTGCCTTTCAGAATTCACCCTTCTCAGGAATACAAAAAGGCTGCTTTACTCCTAATTCCTTTTTGTATTTTTCTCAAAAGGAAGTTGTTTAGGACTCTCTGGGTTGTAGATTTGCTTCTATAGCTGTTGAAAAGCACTGAACTAAATAAATCAATATGACCATTTTTTGGATAAGACATATTTGAGTAGCATTTTTGAAAGCCTTTTCACGTTTCTGGTTGAATGCGAAGCATTATGGTAGTTTTCTAGGATAAGGTAAGGAGGGAAACTTTACAGCTAGTTTTCATAATGTGGAAGAACATGGTGATTGAAAAGAAAAACCATAGAAATGCATGAAAGATGTACAATGAAAAGTTTTCGTCTAACTTATTTCCCTTTAAATGTTTAAAAATGTTCTTTTTTAAAAAACCAATGTGATTTGTCAAGTTCATCCCATCTAACTTGCCATTGATTTCAGTTTAAGCTAATAAGAGTGCCTGATTCATCATCCCTGTGAGATTTAGCTGTAGTAGTAAGTGAGGATCTACAGTTTAATCTTTACTTTTCATGGACTATGTAGTGTGTGTTCCCCACTGAAAATTAAACACAGGATTTTTTATTTTTTATTAACATTAAGCTCACGGAAAAGTAATTTCTTCTATTAAATCTGTTATTGCTTGGTTATTTTTAGGAGTTTTTAGAGGAAATCCTGCACAAGTAAAAGAATATCAGGATCTTCTGGATCCTTTGCTTCAACATACGTCTGAAGGTATTATCTGATAATCATTCTTCTAAAACACTGTAGCTTTTTATTGATTTGAAATTATTACAATACTGATATTCCTATTAATGGATATTACAGTCAGAGCAAAGGAGAAGTAATAATATCACTGTGTCCTGATGGTAAAATAATAATAGTAAAATAATCTCTTTCATGTAGATACATTTATATCAGTAGCATTTTTCCATTACTTTTATAATCACGCTTTATGATGCAATGTAAGATTTACACTGTACCAGCTCATTCCTCCCCTCCTTCGCTTATGCTTCATTATTTACAGCGTTCACTTTGACTTTGCAGGAAAACATTGACTGCCAACAATCCAGCTGTTCCGATGTTCCACCTGGATACAATTGAGAATTACTTGCAACATTCACTTCACTTGACAAGATTTAAAAAAAAATTGAGTGTATGCATATGAAATTGTTTCTAGCTTAGAGTACTGGAAGTGACAACATGTTAACTTTAATATAAATGTTCTCTTATATAGTACACTCCAGAATTTTGGTGGAACTACAGACAAGGCTGTTGATGGCCTACAGGCACATCCATCCAAAATCCAGTTTAAAAAAAAAAAAAAGAAAAAGACGATAAGTTTTAGTGGGAAGAAAAGAAAAATGGCCTGAGAACAGACCTAGCTTCAATATACTGCCAGTCCAGTTTTAAAACTCAGCGTCTTTAGTTGCCTGTCCTCAACGTCTGTGGTAGGGTTACACAATTAGTCTGACTTGTTCTTTAAACTTAGAATACTTGTTGAAGTGAACTAGTTTCTGTAAGAAATAAAGACATTTCCTTACCAAATTTTCATTACATAGCAGATTTTCTGACCTTGCTAATCATTGCTTTTTTCTATTAAAGAGTATGTGAAGTTCCATGGACAATAAATTAACCTTGTGGTTCCTCTTGTTGATTGTCATAATGAATCTCTCATCTTTAAATTTCTGAGTATGTTTTGATACGTCACTTGTTTGAATAGTCTGTCTCTAATAAGTCCCACTTTTCAATTCTTCTTGGCTTCCTGTCAGTAATTTTTTTTTGCCTAAGCAAATAGTCATACACTGCAACTTTATTCTGTTTATCACCTCTTCTTTATCCAAATAAATTCGAAATTAAAGCAATATTATGCTGAAATTTTATTTTGCAGGAAGCATATTAATTTCTTTTTTTATTCCATACGATTAGGTCAGTCATTTGTAATTATGTTTCTAAATTCCTGACACATGTCCACTTACAAAGTGTTGAAATAAAGGTCGTTAATCTACAATGATTAGTAATGCATGTGGCATAATTCTAGATAAAAGATACGCTAGCTTTCAATGAAGAAGTTATGCCATTTTGTTTCATGATGTTTCAAAATTAATACACAGATTTTAACTTGTTTTTGTATACTTGCAAAAAAATGTAATTTTCATTTAATGAAATGTTTGACTACTATTGGCCGAGATCTTAGTTTTTAAAAGTTGTCTGATACTGAGCTGGTGTTAAATGCGGAGAAAAACACCTCAAGTGTTTCACTCACTGTGCTGCAGCTTTTGTTTCTTTTGCTTATGGTTGGTTATGTGCTGCATTTTGCTTTAGGTGAAAGACATTTTTCTCTTTGCACAGTGAGGTGCTACACAGACAGTATATGTATTCTGGGGAGAAATGCCGTGGAAATGTTTGGCAGAAAATGAAGTAGTTTAATATTGCCCTGGGTTTCCTGCACTGATAGTGGTTTTCAGAGATAACAACGGATGACAGCAGTCTTTCTGTTCAGTCAAATTGTTACCAGGCTATAATTTTTCCTGTTTTGAAGCTACTTCAGATTTATTAGGGGACTACAATCAAATAATAACGTAAGTGGAATTTATTTGCTTACTGTACTTATGTTAAAACTCCATAGGGTGTCCTGTTGTACCCAAGTATTACTACGTGCCAGCTGATTTTGTTGAACTGGAAAAGAAGAACCCTGGCAGTCAGAAACGGTTTCCCAGTAACAATGGACGCGATGGCAAGTTTTTCTTGTGGGGCCAGGCAGTTTACATCATTGCAAAACTCCTGGGTAAGAGGCTGAGTAAATTCTCTTGGGTTTTGACTCATCCGAAGTGAAGGATATTTATCTTGTCCATGTTTTTCTTAGATCTGAACAAATGCATTGGCTTGAGTTTAGAAGGGACTATGAGAGGCATCTGTGTGCTCTGCTTTGGTGCATACATGATAGGCAAGATTTGCTTTTTTTTCTTTATGTTGAAATTTTATGCTACATGCAGCATGCTCTGAAGCTCACTGGAATATTTGATAGAATACTGCAAGTCTTCTAAACATGATAGGTTTATTTTTTTGCTGTTTATTTTCCTGTCTTTCCCTCTTACTTCCTTTTCTTCGTGACAAAATACATTCATGCAACATTTGTGCAGTGATGTTTGTAAGTGATCTATAGCGTTTAATTCAAATTTTTTACTGCTCTTAGCAAGACAAGTTTAAACTTTGAAAAGTTACAGTCTTAGATAAAGTTAAGGTTTTCTTCAGTCTCTGTTATTTTTACCCTTTAAAACGGAAGAGACCAGATGAGCATTTGAAAGTGCATCTCCAGGTTTGGCCATTGAAGGTTGTTGAGGTGAATTTCAGGCACAAATGAACTCTTGGTCTCACTTGAGAGGATTCAAAGGCTAATGCAAAAAACAGTTTTTAAGCCTGAAAAATCTTCACAGCTAAGATTTTTTTTTTCTTAGTATTTCTTTTGGGAGAAAGATACGTTACTTTATTTTGTCATGCTCAGCATTTACCTTGCAAATCAGTATATTAAGTTCCAAGAACTTTTTTTCTGTGAGCACTATAAGAGGAAACAGGCTGAGAAACATTGCAGGGGACTTTAATAATTGAAGGCTTGGCAGGAACAGTGGTTGTATCTTTAGGTATAGAAGAACAGAGTCTGTCTGGTGCTCCACCTGTTTGATTTCACTGTTTTCCTTGCATAATTCCTTTCTTAGCCGACACTGTAAAGTAAATGCAGGCAATCTCACCTTTAATGAAAAAAACAATTAAATTAACCTCCTAGTATTAGCCAAGTAATCCTCAAATGCGTGTGCAGGAATAACTCGGTAATCCTGCTAATACTCATCTTGCACTAGTTATTTGTGTATTTCTGTACCTGCAGAATGCTGGTTAAATCACAGAATCACAGAATCGTAGGAGTTGGAAGGGACCTCATTATAAATACATATATAAATACCTATGTAAATACATATATAAATACCATTTAAATAAATAAATTGTATTTATTGTTTGCTAAATGGTGTTTGAGTAATGTAAATTTTGTTTTATTTTGATTCTTTGCTGAACATTCTTACACTTTTTAAAAAATAGTTGTGCTAAATCTCTTTTTGAAATGTTGTCATTAGTGACTGTTTCCTTTATTGTTTTAAAACTTTCCACTGTTTTCACTACTTTTCATTCTTCCCTTTTTTTCAAAGTATTTTTTTCCTTTTCTCTCATAGTCTTTGCAAATTTGAAAATGTTATCGCAAAGCCGAGTCTATTCACCAGTAATACATCAGGAACTCCGTTTATTCATACTAGTTTATAATTGCTGCATTTCATTTTGCTCCTTTCTGGCTGAAAGCCTACTTAAATAACAATCTTGTCCTTGATGAAAGTCTTTGTGTATGTTATTTTGCTTGTTGGTGGTTGCTAATTAAGTGGAAGCCTGACTCCAAACACTTGGATTTCTGGAAGGTGCTGGTTTCCCATTTCCTGGTTCGTTCCGGAAATTGTTGTGTTGCCTCGCGGGTCACAATTTGGATTTGCTCAGCCTCGTTCCTTCTGTTGTGTAGGCCAGCACCTCTGCCTCTTGCGGTCCAAGTTTGTCAAGATGCAGCAACATGAAACTGAGTCAATTCTTACCCGGCTCGCTGCCTCCCACCCAGGGGCACAAGTAGGGAAGGCAAAATTTGGATCCTGTTTATAAAGGCTCTGAACAGCAGAGGCACTGAGAGCAGCTGCCTACTGCTGTCGGATGTCACCACATGTTTATGCAACTTGAAAATTGTTTCTGAAGAAAAGCATGCATTTTGTGATAGTGGTGCAGTTTTTCCTAGAATTTCTGTCTTGCTCTGGCTGAGGAGGTTTGTGAAGCCTTGGTGGGAGGATCCCCATTTCAGAGCAAGGGAAAGCGAAGCCAAGTGTTCAGCTGCTTGATGCAACTGAAAATTCGCTCACTTCAGTCTTCCATTTAGCAATATTTTTTAGAGTATAGACTAAATGGATTAAATGTCGTCAGCTGTTGTTGATATAAATAATGAGCTAACAAAGAAAACTCTGCATTTGGATTCCTGTACACTTGTATTTGTGGTAACGGTGATGAATATTCATGAAGATTCCTCTATGAATAAAATTGTAAATATTGAAAGTTAGCTTAAATTTTATATTAGTCTATTTAGTCTATATTAGTCTAGCATAGTTGTTTTAAATAAGAAATTATTTAGACTACACATTTTAATTACTGAGCAATATAAATCAATATGAAAAACTGTGGAAATCTATTCTG